TTCCCTTTGTCACTATTTCAATAAACCATTACAGAGAACGATTCCCCAACCTTTGAATTATTTAAACTCACTTTAAAAGCAATTTATCTTCCTCGTTTTTTTATTCCTTCTCGGGTTGCTCACAATTACGGACTCATTATTTGCTCATTATTTACCCAATATCTCTTGTCACAATCTCCTTCTCGCTCTGCAACCACACAGCTTCCCATTTCACACTCAGCCACCTTAATTTACATCGCTCGAAATCGACCAATCCTACGAACGAAGAGATAATTTTCCTCAAATCATTTTATACTTCGGTCTCCCCTTTTACCGTTGCCTTATACTCAATTTGGCAATAATGAGTGTCTTTCACTCCCGCCAATGCATTCTATCCCCTGAAGCTCCCAGAGGGGCATTATCGAAACGAACGCCAAGAAAAGACTTTTCCTGACGATTATGGCGAGAATCTTTAGCTCAAGGGCTCCTCAAAATTTAAAGCCGCAAGAACGCGAGACCTTTTGGTGAGCCAATCGATAGCGACGAATAATCTGAATGCACTAATGACCATTTGGTGCAGTATGTCTCTGTCGTGGTCTTAAAAGGCGATAAAGAGTTTAATCAGGTGGGTTCCTGGGAGGAAATAGAGATCTTGTTCGATGTGGAAAGTTTTATCGGTTAGAAAGTGTAACGAACTAAACCTGAAAGAATTCCAGTTTGCCTGTGATAGGTAACTGCTCATTAGTTGAAAATAAAATACCTAACTATTGTGGTCATTTAATGATTTTCTGGTAACGATAAGGGATCATTTATGCAACGATTGTTTCTTTGAAGTACATGGATGTGTATCTCTGCAACACGCTCTCAAAATTATTTGTTATTATTAAGTTTTTAACTATGCAACTTAAAATTTTATGGAAAAGAAAATAATAATGTTGAATTTAATATGTTGATTCATGAATTTTTTTCAGCCATTCAAAATATTTGAGTCGTCAAATTAATTATTTTGTTATTACCTGGAACACTACATGTTACAGTTATAGGAGATACCTTTGTTTCTTTAATTTGATTCTGGGTTTAGTCAAATTGCAATGTGAAGCAGCAAGGCGGATATATATATATATATTTTTATTGAAGACAGGTAAAATAATTCCCTTGCATCATTAGTATCACGCGAGGCTTACAGAAGTAAGTAAAATAAACAGAATAAGATAAATAAAATAAAAGTAAATAACAAAGCAAAAGTTACGAAATAAGAAAATAACAAAAACAAAAGTTACAAAGACAAAAATACAGTACAAAATCAAAATAAAGTGAAGGAAGCTTTACTTGAAACAAGTAGAAAAAAAAACTAGGAGGTTAGTCTACAGATATAGCCCTAGAGATTAAAAGAGATATTGGAGAGACCGACTTCATAATTTTTAAATTTCTAAAGTGACGTGGACAACGCTTGAACTTACAACTCCTCTCAGAACTTCCACAACACGCCAATGGGAGGACATCAGCCCCTCTGAACTATGATTGTTTACCGACATTTGGTTTTTAATTCGTGACTCGACAATACCAACCAAAACCTCGTGACTATAACCAAACAGTTACGTTTAATTTAAAGTTATTATTTTTCCAAAAAATGTATGTTCAATATTTTAATATGCACGACAAATTAATTTTTAAAATAGTATGATGTCGATAAGTTAACTGTGTGTTACTTATTCTAGCACATTTGTGATGCGTTAATTCACAAAATAAACTGACATTATTAGTTATAAAATTAACATCACTAATTGCTGTTTTCAGATTACTGTAGAAATTACTGTAGAATTTTAAAATAACGAAATACTTAATATTTCAGCATAATTATTTATTTTAACCACTTTCAAAACTATGCATTAAAAATAACATTGTTAGAAACAACTGAAATGAGTACTAGTTAGTAACTGTAGATTTTACATATTTGGATTATTTAATGCAATTAATATGAAGACACTATTTCAAAGTATTAATAATTCCAAGCCTGAAGGAGGAAACCTTTTTTTTTCTTAAAACTATTCAAAAGTCCAATTAATATTAATGTATTCACCCTTGTAATAGTTGTTATATAGCAAAACAATGTTAGTTTTCAAAGAATTTGCATAAAACTTATTTTAAAAATGAAATTCGAGGAAACAAGTATTTTCTCGTTCAAGTTATGCAAATTAATGAACTGCATGTTTATGTTAATTAAAATGCTTTTAATGTAATAAACAGAAAATTTTCCGAGTTGATAAATTAAATCAGTTATCTTTCTGAAACTTAATATCAAAGCTGGAACCTTAACTAACATGTTAATGTATTTGCTAAGACGAAATTCAAATAATAAAAATCATATTCTAAAACAAATTTAATGATATTTTTAGCACTTATTTACAAATATGCATAATTTTCATTAAAGAAAAAAATAATGTTTAACGCTATTCTACAGCATCTTCAGCATATTTGAGCCCTTTTCTTTATTTATTTTTTGTGAATAGAACAGTTATAGAAAGGAATTAAAATTTAATTTAAAAAATTTGATTTAGTTATATATGTATGCAGTGGCGCACACAAAGGGAGGGTCCTGGGGGTCCGGACCCCCCCACCCCACCCCCACCCAAAGCCCTCGATTTTTTCTCCGACTGATTATAATTCTAAGTATATAGTACGTGAAATTTAATTAAATATTTGTTATTAATGATTAATTTTATTATTTAATGCTAATTATTTATTCTATAATTAGTTTTTTACTGTGTTTTGTTCCCGAAAATCGACAAAATCAAAAGGAGCATCATACAAGAATGTTGAACTTTCGACCCAGGCCCCCATTCTTGAAAAATTCTTGGTTACGCTACTGTATGTATGTAAGGGGATAGTATTTTAATTTCGGTTATTCATCATTTTAATTACTCTCTTGATTGTTATTTGTCTACTTTGGAATTTATTTATTTATTGGAGTTATTTTCTATATATATATATATGTATATATCAATATATATATATATAGAAACATTTAATTAAAATTAAGAAAAACTATAATGCATATTTAAAAAAATACCGTAAAATCTGGCGTATAACGTTCACTTTTAACACAAAAAATATGATTGAAATTCACGGGTGTGAGTTCTTCCCCGGTATAAAGATGACAATTTTAATAATAATAAAATTAGATGATTATTAAAAAAAGCATTTATCGTAATATTGTTTATTAAAAAGAAACATAATATCTTAATGAACTTAAAGAGTGTTAGTTCTAGAAGTACACTATTTAACAAAAACCTGAGACAATGCTTCAAATAAATGACTTAAAAACATAACAGCATTGTCTACATACATTTCAATTTTCTTCGTAAAAAACGGGACACGCGTTATACGGCGAATATACCTAAAAACCAAAAAAATCAGCTCGAAAGTATGAGTGCACACTATACGCCGGATTTTACGTTATGTTCAACGAAAATTACATTTCTCGCTAAATAAAAGTTAATGTAATCCTTTTTAAGAATTTTACTATCCTAAAATGATATAGTCATCGTAACAATTTTCTTCATAGAATATTTAGATGTATCTTAATAATGAAATATCATTTGAATGAAGCTCCTAAGCTAATAATATAAAACGAGTGGGAAAGGTTTTGGTTGTTGTTTTTTAAAGTTTAATGAATTTTCAGTTCGTACTGTATTTCAAAATGAGTACCAGCATAAGAGTAGCATACATTTTCTCATTTTTAATATACATATTCTAGCTTTATAGTATAAAACATAATTTTCAATACGAAAAAAATAATTCGTCTCCCTCTGTTGATATTACACTTTTCATCGTAGCCATTGTTGCAGAATTTTATTGTTACGAATCAATTATCGGAAGTAATACACTGGAACATCTGAGTAACCGATGTTATTCTAAATTACCCCACCTTAGCAATCAAAATTATTGTACAAATAGCTTATTTTTTATTCATTTATGTTCAATATTCAATGAAAGAATGTTAAGGACACCTAAATGACAGATTTATACTAATCATATTGTCAACTTGCTCATTTAATTACTTAATATCTAACTTCAGCTATGCATTAATGCATGAGAAACACGGTCATCAATCAAAATGAGAGTATTCTTCTTAATCTGAGTAATATGATCGTAAAATGATATGCTACTTAACAATTAATGACTGATGGAATTTTATTTATTTATTTATTTTTTTTTTTTGTTTAGTGATTATTCAAATAGTTTCATTCATCTGTTTGAAAGTTCATTAAGAATGCAGTGAAAGAAGATGAAATGTTTTTAAATGGAAAGATAAAAGAAAAAAATGGCATTGATATAGAAAATTTTCTTAGTATGGACTTATGTCTTGTTGAATTCCATTATAAATGAATTGCATCAAAAGTAGCCATAAGACCAATGAAATATAATTCGAGTTATACTATACTTATATTATTCATTTCTTTATGATCCAAAATAATTCAATCTTTCCCTAACAGCCCTACATAAGTTGTTCTGTAAAATTAGGGGTGAATCCATATTATTTTCAGCAAATGATTGAATGAGGCCGATTGGCCGAGTGATAGCTTATCATGCTTCCACACCACAGGCCCGGGGTATTATTCTCGGACTGGAGAAGGTCGACTCAGCCTTTCATCCCTTCAATAGGTTGATAAATGAGTACCAAGCTTTCTTAGGGGCTAAAACACTTGGGGTTTCACTTCAGACGACCACCTGATCGGTACATCAGCTCATGCACCTCAGCGCCCAATGGTCAAGTATACTGGGGTGGGCACAATAGGCCTTGGGCTTTATGGGCTGTGGTGCCACTGAGTTTGAGTATATAGATATGACAGAAACACAATATATACATTGAGTGGCAAAATATAAATTGATTTTCCTTGCAGGTTTATATTTTCCTGTCTATATATGGTGTTGGGCTATTTTCTTGTTTGCTACTATTTATTCATTAATTAAATTTAATTATTCTAATAAAATAGTAATCACATTCTCAGAAATTAGGCCATCCCTGGTGGGATTTGAACCCACGATCTTTGGATTAGAAGTCCAACTCCATTGTCCTACAGTGACACAAAGAGCGATTTTTCTTTTTAAGTATGGTGTTGGACTACCATTTTTGTTCATTACTATTTATTCATTAATTAAATGGAATTAATGAATAAATGTTTAAAAGTTTCAATAACTTTTAATTATAATTCCATTGACTATGAAACATTCGTATGATAATTAGTATATAGCACAATTAAGTTATAGTATAATTAATAATTAGTATATAGCACGAATTCGACCTTTTTTAAAAATAATTGAAAAAAAAAAGAACTTTCTGTTTATATATATATATATCAATCAGTGCTTCTCAGTCTTTCAATATTTGGGACCCAATTTTCAGTTATAATTTTCATCGCAACCCCCTCATGCAACAACTATGGAGTTAATGTAATAATAATGTACTTCGACGCTAAAACTACAAAGCGACCTTAATTATAAATTGCACAGATTATCAAGATATGTATTATATTTTGTATATGACAAGCCCATGGAAATCACAAGTAATTACTAAACTTGCTTTTACTTAGTATTGATAACTTTCTTATCAAATTCTTTTTACCGTACTGATACATTTATAAGTATCTTATATCAGTTTGAATATGTATTCTATTTTTTATCATGTCAGACTGTAGTTTATTTTGCTTCTTCTCAGTACATTTTGATAATTATTTCCAATCTTTTATTTTGGTCTTTTCGATACGCTCGCGCCCCCCACGCAAGGTTTCCAAGCCCCCCAGGGGACGCGCCCCTGATTTGGGCAAACTAAAAACATAGTTGTTATTTATTTAAATGCCTATCTAATCATATTATATCAACTTGTAAGTGTGTATGTGGAATGAAAATCTTATACTTTACAAACTAAAATGAAGTTAGAGTAATACGAGTATGTTATAAGCCTTTCAAATTGAGAATTGAAATAATTAGGATAGCTAACCTAAATATGCAAAATTAGAAGCAAATATAAATCCAAACTTCATTTTCCTCGTAAAGCATGTAAGGGTAAAATCTACATAAAAGCGCAAATACGAATTTAATGATAAAGCAAATACTAGCTTCGAAATGCAATAAAAACTTCATTAACTTGAAAGCGAATGGCTCATTGCCTGGCACTCAATAATAAAATTAATTTTTTTAGGCTCATAGATTCACAATCTTTTTAAGATTTATTCAGCGGGATAAAGACATTTTCTGTTTACAAAATTGTGCATGAAATGTGGAATGCTTGATTCTTACGAAATTCGTGTTACATATTTTTTTTATATATTTGTATCCAACTTATGGTAATGGTGCTCATAATTAATTGTTTCGTCAAGAATCTGGGGATTATTATGCTTATTGCTCACTTGGAAATGATAACACTGCAAGTTTTTCTTGGGATTCATCCAACAGAAGAGAAAATTAATTGACCTATTTCTGGGTGCATGAATGTCCTGTTTCACAATGTGTGGCTAAAAATAGTATAATAACTCTCAAAAAATGCCATTTCTATAAGAAAAATAATGATCAAAGATGATATACACTTTTTTTGTTTATTTTATCAGATTTACGAAAGGGAAATCATTTTAAAATTTTGTCGATGTTGACTTTTGGTTTTGTATATATTTTTTTCTTTCATATATTCAAAAACATATTTTTCGAATTTTTTTATCTACGGAATCAATTTCATAAACATACATAAAATGTTATTTTTTTTTCGATGTAACAATTTCGTTATATAAATAACATTAATATACAACTTAGTATTTTTTCCAACTTTCCCAATTTTTTATTAAGTAACCGAAATAAGCAAATAAAAAACTATAATAATTAAATTACAAATATAAAATAGACGAAACTAGTAGGCACTTTTGTATTAAAACAAACCTGCAAGTATTTTTTTTATGTGAATGCATCTTTATTGTTAGGAACTTTTTACAATTGCGTAAATTCCAATGAAGTAGTTAACTCATTTTTTATTAATTTAATTTGGAATGAAATATTTTTTTTTAAAGAACGGAAATATTGCTTCATAATTAATGACTAATAGCGACTGATTTATTCTCAAACTACTATAATGATGTATCCATGACGGGACCGAATCAGGTGGTAACATGGGCCCAGATGACTGTTCTGGCTATTCAATATTATCCAAATAGATGTTTATTGACCAAAACAGAACCCCTATTTCTTAAAGAGCAGCAAGAATAGCTGGGCAGTCAAAAATACGAGCAGGTGTTCTGTATTTGAACAGTTATCACAATTCCTTAAGTTTAATCGTCCCTATCAATCTTCATTCTTATGTGATGACCTGTTCTTAGCAATGGTTTTTGTTACACTCAAACTATGTCATCATCAAATAGATGTCACAACTTATGAGAATTTAAACCATGTAAAAAATGTGTGTGATGCAGTATTAAATATATTTTAGACATTGTGATATTTTTCATATTTAAAAAATTTGACGTATTTTAACATAAAATAAAAATTATTTTTATACAAACTAAGAATTTACTTTTATGAAACAACCTGCATAAATGGTTATGAGTATAAATAAATCAAGCTAGAAATACAAAACAGTCTTCACTATTAACAGTTTTCAATTAAATTGGCTTACATTTATAAAACGAATCAGTTACGCTACCCTTAATTTTAATTTTACTCAGGCAAATTCAGAGTAATGCATGAAACAGTTTACAAACCCAACAATAATGAAATAATAGAACGTTAAATACATCCTTTCATCATTACGAAATGCACTGTGTAAACTTGATGTGCGAGTACCTGAAATGGATTTCTTGATTGTGTGGGAGGCAGGTAAATTCATTCCTGTATTTCAAACTTGAAGTTAATTAATTCAGTTGTAAGTGATACTGGTTCAAAGTTATCGTTCTCATTTCAGTAATTAAATTTAAATACAATTGAAAAGCTACTATTACTGCTGAGAAGTCCGTAGTATATGAACACTGTTGACAGAGCTTCCGACTCGGTGAATAATTTGAAACTGCATCTAATAATGACATATGGTTCCTCTTGTGGTAGGTTAATGCAACAAAACCAAAATTCGTTGACGCAACTTGGAGCTGAGCAGAGTAGAAATTTCAACCACAATATTCTACTCATTAATCAATGTTTAAAATGCCAATTAGGGCATTTCGAAATTGACAGAGAAATTTAAGCTGCACGAAATTGTCCACAAGCCGTTTAGTCCACTCGTTAATCTGCAAGGAGTTTAATTAATACCAAAAGCTTCTCTCATAAACAGGAATAGCTTAGTCCTCTTGGTGTTGGGTGGGTTAAAACGGAAAAGGGTGAAGTGAATTAAGTCCAACATACAATGGTTACCAGAATGTACTAGTTCTGTCAAAGTTAAAACATATACCCTAAATTTCCTATCAAAATATTACTACGCAAAAGAAATAATATAATGTTCACAGACGTTAAGTAACTTATATTTCAAAAAGGCTTTATATTATAAAAATATAAAAGCTTAATTTTAATAAAATATTATTAAAAATTATTACTACATAAAGATTAAAATTAAGTGAGCAAATATTTTATACCGAGTAATTTTATTTTATAAAAATTTTGGAAATCCGTGAGGAATTTCTGGAATATTTTTTTTTTTTATTCAGATTCTTTTAAAATAAGTTGATGAGATTTTTAACATCTCCCTTTAAGGCAAAATGTGGGCTACGGGTGAGGGACCTCGTAATTTTGAACCTGGATTAAGTAAAGAAAACGATGTCTTAGCTGGGATAACCTTTTCAGAACTGCCACACCATGGGGACGGGATAACTTTTAACCTCGACAGATTTAACTCCTTAAGCGGTCAATTTTCTTGCCCTAAATACTTAAAAAAAAAGGCGCATTTTTTTATTGTTTTTTATAACTAAACGTCATAATAATTCCCGCCTTCACTATTAAAAAATGCTGGACGAAATGCATTTCAATACCATAGGGAAACTTCATCACCTTTTCAAAATGTTACACTAAATAATACGCCATAAGAATTAAAAATAAGAGCAAATCAAAGAAAGAAAGGTAATATCAGTGACCATACAGCGCACAGGCAAACCAGTTACGGCCAACTTTGGGTAGCACGCATGTTGTACGGGCAAACCGCTTAAGGGGTTAAAGTGCATTAGATACACGGTGGATCTACAACCATGGGCGTATAAGACGTATTAATGATACGGGGCTATCAAGCTACAAGGGCCCCAATATGTGTAACATTCTGGCACTTTCAGATAATTGACTATTATTTCTTTTCCAAAAGAAGGACCCCCAAAGACTTTTGATACAGGGCCCACTCAGGACTAGCTACGACAGTGTCTACAACTGCAATAAAATTCGAAATCATGATACGGCTGCCCCGAGTTTATGACCATAAACAATAGCCTACCCCAGGGGTCCCCAATCCTCAGGCCACGGACCGGTACCGGTCCTAAGATCAAATGGTACCAGGCGGTCCAAGGAACATCAAAGTATTTCCTTTTTATTAACTGTGGTCTATTTCTCTCTGATATGTGAGACTTTCCATGTAAATCACTTTATATCCATTTTTGGTGTAGTTATATTTTATTCTAAAGGCATTTAAAATATAATCAAACATAAATTATTAAATAAAAACGATTAAAAATATGAACAACCAACATCCCACACTCAGGGGACCACTGTAAAATTATTAAACGTTGACCGGTTCACGGCGATTGGACAAAAGGATTGGGAGCACTCGGCTACCCCATGACCATCTAACTCATTTGAAATAAAAACTACTCAGAAAAGCTCATATACTAAATCTGTAGGTTTTTAAAAAGATGATGCATCATTTTTCTAACTTCACCACAAAAACGCTCATGAAAAGAGGAAAGATGTTTTGTGTTCTAGACATTTTTCTTTAATACACAATAAAGCAAGATGCTCGTTGGTAAAGATATGATGAGACTTTTGTTTCAAGGGTGATTTGGTAGTCTTCTTTCATGTGTTTTTTTTCTCCTTTTTTTTTTTTTGTTCAACTTACGCTTCGATAAAAAGATCTTAAACTGAGGTA